AGAAAGCGCCATACTGCTTTCCACAGGGGTTGCACCATTTTACACTCCCACCAACAGTGAATCAGGGTTCCAGTTTCTCCACAAAAAAATGGCAATATTCTAATGCATTAATCTCATGCACGTGGAAAGAGGACTTGCTAGCCTCAAAGAACAGAATTAGAAACATCGATTTTGCCACATACACTTGTGGGAAAAACCAACGTGTGTTATAAAGCCCACATCTATATTCTTTTCTCTTTAAATTCATTTCTCTAGATAGCCAGCTAGAGAGTGGCACAAATTCAGGGGTAAAAATGGAAAGGATTCTCAGCTTGGACAATGCTGATTAGCCACTGCAGCCTAGTGCTAACTGCCCTCAGCCACATGGAGAAGACTGATGGCACAATTGTTTTCAATGGTTTCATATTGTTTAAAAGATAAATTCAAGCTCTAAAGGAAGGCATTGAAGCCTGACTTCACTCCCACCTCATTTCCCACCACTTCCAGCCCCATTGCAGGAGATGGTTATTGACCAACAAAGATTTCAAAACATGGAGTTGCTCTGGGCAATGTCTTCTAGCCAGCGACCACATTTCTCAGTGTGTCTAGATGGACCATATAACTAGCTCTGGCTGGTGAAATGTGAGAGGAGTGATGTGGGTCAATTCTGCACAAAAAGGCTAATAGCACACTTTCTTCTCTGTGTTTGCTCCCTGGCTGGCAGTCACCAAGGTGACCTTGAAGCTATAAGACTAACGCAAGCTGGGTTCTCTGAGTCATTCCTGGAAGGAACACGACCCTTGAGAAGTTTCTGGCCAAGAACTTCTACCTTGAACTTGGCACAAGTGAGAAATAAGATTATATTTTGTTAGCTATTGACATTTGAGGGTTGTTTGCTAGACTTGTCTAACTTCATCACCTTAAAATTCCTGCCTTTGATATTTGGAATCACTTGGTTTGCTTTTACTTGACCTTGCCTTGCAATCTCTCTTCCCTGTACCAAGAATATAATATCCCGTTTCTATGTGAAAAACTAGCAAGACTCAGGTTATTGTTGTTGCTTTCTAGTTGCTGTTGAATTGGCCTCCAATTCATGGCAACTCCAGGCTCAGTGGTGTGAACAGTTTTAATTGGCTGGTTGTTTAGAATGGGAAAGGCCAGACCTCATCTGTCTTTATTTGGAAGCTCTGCTGAGATCTCCTCAGCATTACAGTAAAGTGAAAGCCTCCAGGGATGGAGTAATCACTGGGCTTGAGAAACACTGACTGGGAATTGAACCCAGGTCTTTCTTGTACACAGAAGGTGAGAATTGTACCACTGAGCAACCACTGCTCTTCAGAATCAGATTAAGTGACACTTATCCTGTAAGCCCTTCTCTGACTTTTGGTATATTTACTATTCTTTTTTTTCTCTGCACTTACTTTTTTTCCCCCACCTCACATTCAGTAGAACCATGTTAACATAGTTAGCTACTCAAAAAATTGGGAGTTCTTTAATTTCAAGCACTAGGTTTTATTAACTTTTCAATCTGTATGCAGAACAGATTATCTGGGCTATCCGAGAAGGAATGTGGCATCAGGATTGGTGGAAGATTCATCAGCAGCCTGTGTTATGCAGAAGACACAACCCTGCTTGTTGAAACTGAGGAGGACCTGAAGCGCTTGCTGCAGAAGGTCAAGGACTATAGCCTTCAATACGGATTGAAACTCAACATCAAGAAAACAAAGATTCTCACCACTGGGTCAACTGGCAGCATCATTATGGATGGTGAAGAAATTGACATAGTTAACAGTTTTAGTTTGCTTGGCTCCACAATCAACACTCTTGATACTATTGTGTTATTGTTATGTGCCATCGAGTTGTTTGCAACTCATAGCAACCCTATGTACAAGAGCTCTAAATGCTGTTCTATCCTGTACCAACCTAACCATCTCAAACGCACTTATTCCTACCGCTCCAGTCACAGAATCGATCCATCTCACCACAGGTCTTCCTCTCCTTCGCCTCCCCTCCACTCTGCCAAACATGATGTCCCTTTCCAAGGACCAGTCCCTCCTTGCAACATGCCCAAAATATGTCAGACGAAGCTTCAGAATCCTTGACTCCAGGGAACACTCTGGCTTCCCCCTCTCCAGGACAAACCTGTTTGTTGTCCTAACAGTCCATGGTATATTCAACACTCTTCTCCAGCACCACAGCTCAAAGGCATCAATCCTCTTTCTATCAGCCTTATTCACTGTCCAACTCTCTGATTCATAGCACATAATTGCGAAGACTATAGCCCGGATCAGGTGCACCTTAGTCTCCAGCCTGACGTCGTTGCTCTTCAGTACTCTTGAGAGGTCCCTCACAGCCGACTTTCCCAATGCAATTCATCTCCTGATTTCCTGGCTGCTGTTACCAAGAGTGTTGACTGTGGAGCCAAGTAAATTAAAACTGTTAACTATCTCAATCTCAGTCAGGAAATCAAGAGATGAATTAATTGCATTGGGAAAGGCAGCTGTTTGGAACCTCTCCAGAGTACTGAGGTTAGAGACTAAGGTGCACCTGATCAAGGCCATAGTCTTTACAACTGCATGCTATGCATCAGAGAGCTGGACAGTGACCAGGAATGACAGAAAGAGAATTGATGCCTTTGAGGTGTGGTGCTGGAGAAGAGTGTTGAATATACCATGGACCACTAGGAGAACAAACAAGTTCATCCTAGAGAGGGTGAAGCCAGGCTATTCCTTGGAAGTAAGGACTCTGAAGCTTTGTTTGACATACTTTGGGCATGTTGTAAGGAGGGACTGGTCCTTGGGGAGGCCCTAAGGAGGGACATCATGTTTGGGAGGGTGGAGGGACAGCGCAAGAAAGGGAGACCCTTGATGAGGTGGATCGATTCAGTGACTGGGGTAATGGGAGTAGGTGTGTCTAAGACAGTGAGATTGGCACCGGATAGAGCAGGGTTTAGGACTCTTGTACATGGGGTCACTATGAGTCACAAGCGACTCAATGGTGCATAACAACAACAATAGTCAGTGTACCTAATGCATTGAACATAACAGTGCATTCTCAATGGATGGATTTCAGATGAACCTGTTCCCAGCAAGTCCATTCTGATTCTTAGCAGCCTTATGGATGTAGTAGGACTGTACCATAAGATTTCTAAAACTGTAATCTTTATGGAGACAGACTGCTCTATTTTTCTCTCTTAGAGAAGCTGGTGGATTTGGACTGCAGACCTCTGATGGATTTGAACTTCTGACCTTTCAGTTAGCCATGCACTTGACCACTGTGCTACCAGGATTTTTTAGTCCCCTAAACCAATTATTCACTGCTGTTCGATTGAGTCCAACTCAAAGCAACTCAAGCATTACATCTCAACATCAAGGAAACAAAAGTCCTTATCAATGGACCTACAAGTAACATCATAGCAGTTGGAGAAAACAATGAAGTTGTCAATGATTTCATCTTGCTTGAATCAACAATCAGCACCTTTGGTACCAGCATTTAGGAGAACTGGTGACATATTGCATTGGACAAGTCTTCTGGCAGGGATTTCTCCAAAATAATGAGAAGAAATGATGCCAGTTTGAAGACTACAGTGTGCCTGATTCAGGCATGGTCTTTTCAATCACTTACTATGTATCTGAGAGCTGGACAACGAGTGAGGATGACAAAAGAATTTATGTCTTTGAGTTACAGTGCCAGAGAAGAGTGCTGAATATTTCATGGACCGCCAAAAAAAAAAATAAACAGCTATGTCTTAGAAAAAGTGTAGTCAGAATTCTTGGTGGCTAGAATGGTGAACTTTCATCTCCTATACTTTGGGCATGTTACTAGGAGAGGTTATTCCCTGGAAAAGGACATTATGCTAGGAAAGGTGGAGGGTCAGTGAAAGAGAGAAGACCCCCAATGATATGGATTGACAGTGTGACTGCAGCAGTGGGCTGGAGTGTGTCATGGATGGTAAGGATGGCACAAGATAGGACAAAGTTCAGGTACGTTATTCCTAAAGTTGACATGAGTTTTAGTTGACTCAGCAACACCTAACAACAACACAGCAACTCTGTATCAGACGTCCAATACTGTGAACTGGAGGCTGTCCAACATTCTTCTATGAGGTGACTAGATTCAAACTACTGACTTTTTGGTTAACAGCATGATGTGTTATACACTATGTCACAAAGGCTCCTTTGGATTTTGGATTAGGTTTTGTGAATTTGGATGTGAGGGGTTCTCCAATTACATCTTTAACTCCATTGATTACAGAATGCACTGATTTGAGTCAAATGAGATGCTTTGCATTGCTGCAGAAGTAGAATCTGGAATGCTGTTATGTGTCCTCAAGTCCAAACAGACTCATAGCTGACCCTCCAGTGTGCTTCCAGAAGCAGTAAGTACATGGGCAGAGATTGTCTATCTTTCTTCTGCAGAGCAGCTGGTGGATTTGATTCATGTGCCTTTGGCATGACAGTGCTGCTCCTTAGCATTAAGACGCTAGAGCTGCCTAGAACTCAGAATAGTGTTCTATAAAATAGAATCTAGTGTTTGAGAATTCAGAATTAGTATTCAGAGTAGAATACAATGATTAGAGTTGGAGAATTCAGTAACACATTGACAAGCAATGTGTGCTCTTACAATTTGTCTTTTTCTTATTCACTGGAGGATGATGGGCAATGCAAGCTCCTGGTTTTCAGAATGTATGTGTGTGTTGTTTAAATAGTTGCACATTATGCTTTGTATGTGCTTTGCTTGAAAAACACGGGACGTTTGACTTTTCCTAGAGTGCTAGCCAAAGACATCCTACAGTTCTTTTGCTTCCCTGCGAATTTGGACTTTGTTGGAGATAACAAGGCGGAACTGGAAACACAAGTTGAAATGAAATGGAAAGTCCTTTACAAGGAAATAGTTTAGAAATGCAGACAGAATTTCTCATTTAGCTTAGCAAGTGAGAGCACTGTTTTAATACAGACAAACACTGTTAGGGACAAGAAACCCTGCCCTTCTTCCTTCATTCCCACTGTAGGAGAAGACTATCATTCCTTGGGGTTTCTGATGACGGCTGTGGTGGAGTATGAGTAGGGGCTGAGCAGAGCAGCAATGGTGTAATAGCGGGGCCCGGCGTCGTTGGCTGTGAACACCACCTAAGAGAGAAGACAGGCGGGGTGGTTTTAAGTCAGGGACCACATAAGCGGCAGTCATGGAGGTATTTGGAGACCTAGTGCTACATTTTAAACTTTATTGTTTTGTGGTGTGGAACAGTTTGTCTAATGTACTGGCAAGTTCAGCCATTGGAGCCTGATGCATTAGAACAAGAGTCAAGTCTCTTGTTAATTCACACAGGAATGAATGCAACCCCACAGAGGGATGTCACAGAAAACCAAAATGTTCTGATCCACTTTCTCAGTTTGCAAACAACAAACATTCGAAAAAGTTTCTTGAGAGAAAGTGCAAATTGGTGCTTATTGAGCTGGGAATGGCCAAGAATAGATGTATTATCAATGATACCATGGACTTAAAACCTGGAACTTCAGCACTGGAAGGAACAATTGTTAGCATTTTACACATAAGCAAACCAAACCTTGGAATTACAGTGTTTGCTCAATTTTATACAGTGACAGGGGCAGATTAGAAAGCAAGGTTTCTATCATCAAGATAAAGGATTCCGCACTACATCCCCCAACACTATTTCTTCACATTTTCTGACATGAAGAAGAGCAAGAATATTTTACGTACATAAGAAGCAAATAAACATAAAGTGAAAGCATTTTATGTAATTGTTAACTACTCAGCTGCCACATCCATCTAACAGCTCACAGAGCAAAGATGGGACAACCTGCCACCATAAGGATTATAACCTAGAAAAAACCTTTGGGGTAGTTCCACTCTGTCATATGGGGTCACCATGAGTTATAATTAACTGACTTGATAGAACCTAATAAGGACTTACAACACAAATAAATGAGGAAAACTGTGATGGGATTCTGAAGTATTTACACGTATTAGAGGTAAAATTTTCTTATTGGTCAATTGGTTGATCAAACTTTGTTCAGTTTTTATTAGATGTACTTGTCAATCTCAGTATGTCATTGTTATTATGTTGACTCTGAACTGTTATTATGAACTGTTATTATGTCGACTCATAGCTGACTCTACAGTGAGTTTTCAGAAGCAGTAAATATCTCATGGAGAACTGTGATAGAACTTAACGAATTCTCCCTTTGTGACAATAACAACAACAACAAAAACACTCACCCCTGAATGTAAAAATGGTGCAACTACTATGGAAGGCTGTATGGTGTTTTCTCAAAAAGTTGCAAATAGAAATACCATTTGACCCAGCACTTCCATTGCTGGGAATGTACCCTAAAGAAACCAGGAACTGCCACCCAAGCAGATATATGCACACCTATGTTTATTTCAGCTTTGTTCACAAATAGCTAAGAGTTAGAAACAACCCAAGTCCCCATCAACAAACAAATGGATAGAGAAGCTCTGGTATATTCACATAATGGAATACTTTGCGGCATTGAAAGACAAAGAACTCATGATATATTTCACAAAATGGGTGACCCTGGAGGATATTATGCTGAGTGAATATCTCAGTCACAGAGACAAATATGGCATAATGCCACTGTTGTAAGAGAGGACTGACACAGGGGTTGGGGGGGAGACTGAGAAAAAGGGCATAAATAATATATATGGCATTGAAACAGATGAGGGAGAGAACTGTTTAAAAGAGATATATGATTAGATATTATTGTTATGACACAAGTCCAGAACAAAGGTAACATAGTGGAGTGGACTTGGGGGGAGAGATTGAATGACAATGGAAGATTTCTTTTTCCTTTTACTTTTCAAAGAGAAAAGTTAATTGAGGGGAGGGGTGGGCAGGGAGAAAAAGTGCAACAATGAATGAATGGAAATCCAAAGTCTGTAAACTTTCATTAAAATCAATAAAAATAAAATAATAAAACAAAACCAAACCACCTGACCCTAAATCTCTTATGGGAGGAGATTGTCTATTTCTCTGCTGTGGAACAACTGGTGGATTTAAACCACATGCCTTTGAGTTGGCAGCAAACTCGGTATCACTAAGCCACCAGAGCTCCCTCAACCTGAGCATGTTGTTGTTATGTGCCATTGAATCAATTGCAACTCATAGTGACCCTGGGAACAATGGCTCTCAACTTTGCTCTATCCTGAGCCAACCTCACTATCTGACATACCTGGCCGCATTGTAACAGTCACTGTGTCAATCCATCTCATCCAGGGGCTTCCTCTCCCGCACTGATTCTTTACACTTCCAAGTATGATGTCCTTCTCCAAGCATACACCTGGTCAAATTGAACTCTTCTAGGAGTTGTATGCTGGCTTTGCCTATCTGTCCATAATGAAGTAACTTTGGATACATTTGGCTCAAGGGAGAGATGGAGACAGTGAGGAGGTGTTTGGCTTTACTTGTGTTATGTACATAAATAGGTTTGATCTTTGGACACAGCTCAGATGGGTATATTTTTTCCAAGTCTTAGTAAAGGAAATCTGTACTCCTTGGGAATAAGAGAAAAAGAAAACTGATAGATCATATCAGAAACAAAAGGAGAGTTAGGGCAGAGAGAGAGAGAGGGAAATTACTTAATCTCTCTGAGGGAGAAAGGGCATCCATAGAAGGCTTGTTCTAGAAGCTTCTAGGAAGTTCCTACTTTGTGGAGATACTGCCTCCTGTCTCACATAGTTTTCTAATGCTGCCATAATAGAAATATCACAGTGGCTTCATAGTCAGGAGAGTAAAGCTTCAAGTACAGCATATGATTCTAGGAGGAAGTCTCTCCTTTTTTGTAGTCACCTGCACTCCTTGGCTTGTGGACACATCTTTCTCCATCTATCTTCCTCTTTACCCCATGAGATGACTCCAGGTCTCTCCTGGACTCTGTACCTCGTAAGTGATTAGATTTAGGATCTTCCATACTCTAATATAACATCGTTTTATTGTTATGTGCCATTGAGTTGCTCGACTCATAGCGACCCTATATACAACAGCCCTGAAACCTGCTCTATCCAGTGCCAACATTAGGGTCTGTGACACACCTACCCTCATTACCCCAGTCACTGAATCAATCCATTTCATTGATGGTCTTCCTCTCTTTCTCTGTCCCTGCACCCTTCCAAGCATGATGTCCCTCTACAAGGACTGGTCCCTCCTTACAACATGCCCAAAGTATGCCAGATGGAGCCTCAGAATCCTTTATTGTTGCAAAAACAAACCCCCCACCAAAACAAAACAAAACAAGACAAAACCAAAAAACCCAACCCAAAACAAACCAAAACCTCTTTAACCTAAACTGGTTCATATTTACTAATACAGAAGCTATGATTTTAGTTTTTCTTTTTGGGGTTACACAGCTCAAGCCGCATATGTTTTTTCTTCATAAAAGTTGTAAATTATTCCCAAATCCTTGAAGTGAATAAGCCTACTAATCCCAAAGGAAATGTTCTCATTTTCTACAATGAGGCTGATATATCCACCTTAGTGACTGACCAGGGAGAAGGTGGCAAGGACTGAAGGACAGCATATTTCTGGGAGACATTTGTAAGTAAGAACTGGCAGTAAGGGAAGGGACCCATGACTAAACCCATCATGCACCAACTTCTAAAGTGAGGACTTGGGAGTCATGTTTAAAGTCTGGATTTTCATTCACTATATTAGAACAAATGGGTTTGTCCTGGAGAGGGAAAGCTGGAATACTCCTTGGAGTCAAGGATTCCGAGACATCATGTGACATACTTTGGGCAAGTTGCAAGGAGGGACTGGTCCTTGGAGAGAGGGACATCATGTTTGGGAGAGTGGAAGGATGGCACAGGAGAGGAAGACCCCTCGATGAAATGGATCGATTGGGGTGATGGGTATGAGTGTGTCGGAGACGGCAAGTTTGGCACAGGATAGAGTAGCATTTAGGGCTCTTGTACACAGGGTCGCTATGAGTCGCAAGCGAATCAATGGCATATAACAGCAACAAACAACATATTGATTCAGATTCTAGGAAAGGCTGATGTTCCTACCTGATATGTCCTAAATCTTCAGCATCTGACACTGTGGTCAACACAGAGAGATTTAGAAAATAATGCTAAATGACTTCTAAAACAATGAATAGCAAATAAGTAAGCCAATATCCAATGATTACAAACAATGCATTCATAGCAGTACATCTGTGAATCTTTTCAGATGACCCCAGCAGGCTGAGACCAGTGTGGACAGGGAAAATTATCTAAGATGTGAGGGACTGAGACTTTTTGGACAAATGCCTGTGAAGGAGGCCTTCTGGAAATCACACCTGCTACAACGGAGACTCAGCATTTTGCTGCCAGATGGAGAGGTAGCCTGAAAGATACTTCATGAGAAATGGAGGTCTCTTTGTGACTTGGGGGCCTCAGAAGTCAACAGACCTTTATGGTTTCCCTGGCAACACTGACTTCTAAAAACAACCATGTTACATCAGTTGAATGCCTCATCCATGACCGAGAGGATGGTTCCCCTTAATGTGCAGTTATTTTTGATGCAATTAGTTGATATCTAACTCTGGCCAGCCTGTCTGGGTACTATTTCCATGACAGCCATCTGGCTTCAATAACTTCAGAATTCATAGACAAGATATAAGCAGGGAAATGGGGCCCCTGTGTATTCGAATGAGATTCTTTGTTAATCTGCAGGAGTCCCCCGAAGATTCAAGCAGTGAACATACCCAGTTACAAATTGAAAGATTAAGATTGGGTGTTTGAGTCCACAAGAGGTGGCTTAGGAAAGGACTGGAGATTGGTTCCTGAAAAATCAGCCACTGGAAACCCAATGGAGGAGTTCTACTCAGATACGTGTGGGCTCAATGACAACTGGTTGGTTATTATCTCATAAGCACAGAAACAGGATATAAACCAATGATTACAAATACAATTTTTATTTTCCCCCTAACAGTGAGAATGCTTTGTGAGGGACACTTGCTGAGGTGAAACCCAGCCTGGACCTCATTAGTAAACACTGCTGCCCCTCCCTTACTAGCCATCTGGTCCTTGACAAGATATTTTCTCATGTCTTTACATTCTTAACCTGTGAAATGGGGATAAGAGTAGAACCAGCTTCTATAGGTTGTTTATGAGAATTGATGGGTTATAAAAGTGCCTGACACTTGGTTTATGTTTGATAGATATTATCTATTATTATTTTGAATTAATTGTCTCTACTTAGATTTCTAAGAATATAAAGTAACGCAGGTTCACAATTGTTTTTCCAAAGTTAAATTATGCTTATGTTCAAATACAGTTATACCTTAACTTCTGGGATGTCTTAGAATATGCTTTAGCTGGGAGAATTTTTTGTATATGAGAAAAGTGAAATGGTGCATCTGTCTTTTATTATATAGACCTATAAATGGGATCTGGATGTCTGCCTTATAATCAAATATATTGCTATTTCTCAAGCAAGCAAATATTTTTATGAAATGAAATAAATGGAAACTATTTTTTTTTTTTTGTTGTCATTTTCCGTCAAGTTGGAACTGAATGGAAACTATTTTAAAAGGTATGAAACTTCAGGTTATTTTAATAACTGAGTCTTCTCTAATTAAGGAGGAAAAAATTTGCTTTTTGAATTTTTTGTTTTCGATTATAAAATTGATAATGAGAACTTCTGCTAGTTAATTGCTGTTCAGTGGCATGTTCACTGTGTGCTCCATGCAAATTGCACTCTTTGGGATTACAAAACAAACCAGCCTCAAACACCTCATCCACTCACCTCGGCATACTCATGGAATGGAGAAATGCCAACTGACTTCCAGTAGGATTTGGTGTCCAGTTCCACTTTGTAGACTCCTTCTACAAATTTCTCATCTGTTGTGAGTCCATGGAGCTCTCCAAATTCACTGGTTTTCCTAGAAGGTGCAAAAATCAAGGGTCAATAGCACCATAGACACTAAGAGAATACATGGCTTGACAAAGAGGCATGAGGTACATGGTTCTATGGACATGGATAACAGACACATACACTAAGGAATCTGTGGGAGAAAGATAAGCATTCGTTTCCCAAGTGATTTAGAGCCTTTGAAAACCCAGTGGATTATAAATACCAGAGAGATGCCACTATTGACTTAGCCTTGAAACTCTATATGGATCAGGCTACCAGAATATATATGTATATTATACACACACACACTCATGCACACAGCATATACTGTTGTCACTGCCAGTAAGTTGGCAACTCATATCTACCTTGTATACAAGAGAAAAAAAGCAATACTCCATCCTGCTCCATCCTCACCAACTCAACTGTGCTGTAGCCCATTGTTGTTGTTGTTGTTGTTGTTGTGTGTGTGTGTGTGTGTGTGTGTGTGTGTAAGCCCCGGTAGCTTGTTTCATTGTGTGCTATCAAATCAGAACTGATCTGTAACTGACCCACTAGCAGGTTTTTAGAAGCAGTTAATTGCAGAAGAGGAGATAGCCTGTCCTTGTCCTGCGGAGCTGCTTGTAGCTTGGAACTGTGTGTCTTTGGGACTGACTGCAGCACAGCTTCTTACCACTGGGCTACCAGAGATCCTGAAAGCTTCTTGTTGTTGCTGTTATGTGCTGTTGTGACTTGTGACTCATAGCAGCCCTATGTACAACAGCTCTGAACCCTTCTCTATATTGAGCCAACCTCATTGTTTTTGACATGCCTACTCCTATATCCTCAGTCACTAAGTCAATTGATCTCATTCAGGGTCTTCCTCTTTTTTGATGCTTCTTGTTGTTGCGAGATACCATCTAGTCAAGTATGACTCATAGTGACCCTATGAACAAAAGATCTGAACCGTGTTCTACCCTGCGCCATCCTCACACCTCCTGACACACTAGAGCCCATTGCAGCAGTCAACGTGTCAATTCACCTGCTCGAGGGTCTTCCTCTCCTTCACCGACCCTCTACCCTTCCCAGCATCATATCCTTCTCCAGGGATTAGCCCCTCCTAGCCACATTCCCAAAGTGTGTGAAGCAAAGCCTCATCATTCTTGTTTCCAAAGCGCACTCCAGCTGCACCCTCTTAAAATTAAAAAAAATTACAAAAAAAAAAAGATAGGAATACAAGGCGTCCATAAAACACCTGAAATGGCATATACATGTTCCGGGCCACGAGATTCATGGCTTTCATCACCTTCTTTACCTGGTCTATCACCCTGGCTGCAAAGAGAACAAACACATCTATCTTGGAGGAAGCACAAACCAGTTGCTCTTTAAAGGTAAGGATGGTGAAACTTCATCGCATATATTTTTTGCGTGTTGCCAGGATGGGGGTGGGTCTTTGGGAAAAGAGAAAGATATCATGCTGGCAAAGGTGGAGGGTCGATGAAGGAGAGGAAGGACCTCAACAAGATGGATTGTAGCAGTGACTGCCACGGTGGGCTTGAACGTGGTGGAGCCCCTGAGGATGGTGCAGGACAGGGCAGGGCTTCAGTCGGCTGCAGGGTCACCATGACTCACAGTGGACCCAACAACAACACGACCCCGAGAGGCTGTGAGTCTTTTCTAGGGGGAAGGAGTTCCCAATCCACAGTCTGCTTTGCCCTCCATTAAAAGTTAGTGGTTGAATCTACTCAACAGTGCAGCAGAAAAGAGGGCTTTCGTAAAGATTACAGCCAAAATAATCGTAACTTCTACTCTGTAACACAGAGTCTCCAGGAGTTGAATTCAATATGAAGACCATAGATTGGGCTTCCCTCACCCCCTGCCCCATCCTTCCCTAAATAGTTTCTGGGGAGTTTGGGTGAGCTAGTCCACAGGGATTTGCCCTGCTGGTCCAAGGATGGCGTCTCTCTGGTAGTTTTAACCTAACAGAAGCTCCTTAGGGGAAACATGAGCAATCTCCTATTATGCAATTTGCAGCCTAGGAGACTTGCTGGAGGGTCATCTATGAATCAGTTCCAACTGGGCAGCAAAGAGTTGAACGGTTCTTGGTCATCTCCTTGCTAAGCACATCAAGAGGATCTCAGGCTCTGCAATGCACATGGTAGCTCTGCCTGCATTTGTAATCTATTTGTAGATTCTTTAGTGAACTGAGTCTCTCCGCAACGTTCTCTATGGAGTAAACTGCAGGCACAGTGAAGTTCCATGACATGGCTCATTGGGCTTCTTACCCTTCAGCAAACGGCTCCCAGGTGTCATCAGCAGCCCTTTTGAACACCCTCACAGCCACGTTGACGGCGGGACTGCCCCGGACAGCGTCCAGGACTTTGACCATCAGAGGGCATTTGGATTGACCCTGCACAGAGAGAAGAGGAATAATAATACTAACAAGTCAGTGGAACTGGTAAGTATGAAAGGATTTATTCATTGTTTGGAGAAGTCTAGAATAAGGCAGGAAGTACATTCTGATCCCATTTCCAGCAACATAATTGTTGGCGACTAAGGAAATTGCCTGCAGAGTATAACACAGACAATACTGTTTCCAAAGCAAGAATAGTTTCTGCCTCAGAACATGCTCTGTCCTCTTTGGATTTGTGCAATGAATTAAAAAAGGGGAAAACAAGTCCCAGAGAATAGTTGCTTTGTTAAGTATCTCCACTTGAGTGGGATTACAAAAAAGATGCAGTAGACCAAGGCTCAAACAGTTTTCTGAAAAGTATTTTAGTCAACTATTATTGCAGTCCTTTCTTCTTTATGGTTTTGCTATAAAGTGCTATGGAGTCTATTTTTACTTGTAAAGACCCATATGATAGAAAAATATACCCTATAGTATTTTCTTGTCTGTAGTGGCTTAATGGAAAGGAATTGTGTTGCCAATCCAAAGGTATACAGTTCGAATCCACCAGCTTCTCTGCAGGTGAAAGACAGGTAATCTCCTCTTGTGTGATTTACAGCCTCTGAAAACCCACTGGTGAGTTAACCATGAGTCAGTTCCAACTGATGATGTACAACAACAAGTTATAAAAAGGGCGCTCTGGGCATGTAGTCTGTGACGAGTTACAGTGCAAACTCATGACGCACTCTTCTCCAGCAGTTCGAATCCACCAACAGCAATGCTATTAAAGAAAAAAAAATAGGAAATCTCCTCCTGTGAAACTGAAACGTTTGGAAATCCAATAGAGGGTCAAGCAAGGAGTTAGTTCTCACTCAGTGACAATGACTTTGATATTTTTCAAGTTGTCAAATAATATCACCCTACATCATGACCCAATTTATAGTAAATTTTTCTAAAACACTCCAGAGGTAGGCCCTTGAGCACAATGTTGCTTATCATGCATTTCAATGATGAATCAATAAGTAGATTTTGGTCAGCTAGAGGGTCAGAATATAATATCATGCTATAAAAGGGACTTTTCTAGAAATTTCTAGGAATTCAATGCTTCATTAATAATGTATACCTTGATCTATTTGATCTACTTGAGGAAATTGAGACACCAGACATCACAAAGAGTCCCTGGATGTCGCAGGTAGTTAATGTGTTCAGCAGCTAACAGAAGGCTAACTGTTTGAGTCCACTCAGAGGCACCTGAAGAAAGGACTGGAAAGCTTCCTGATAAATCAGCCCCTGAAAACTGTGTCGCACCACTGTACTCTCATGCACCACACGTGGGCTTGCCATGAGTCTAAGTGAACTGGCTGAGAAGCCTTGCACATGCAAACCACCACAGCAATGTGGGAGAGCTCCCAGAGTTCAAGCCCAGTTCAGTAAGCTCTGCAGAAGGTCACTCTTTTACAGGTTTGAATGAATGCTGTTTACAATGATCTACCACACAGCCTGGCCCTGAGACACAAAAAGTTGTTTGGTGAAGCTGAACGAAGTCCCTCTCTACTCTGTCCAGCAGACACATGGTGCTTATCAAGAGGAACTGGACAGAATCAGATACTCACTGTGGGGCCAGCCTCCAACACAAACACCAATGCAGCAAGGCAGAGAAGCAGAAGGTGACGAGAAGCCATGATGCCAAAAACTTGTGGTCTTCAGTGTCGGCTGCTCCCAGCCTGGGGCTTTTATACCCACTTCCCTCAAGCCAAGCTGCTTATCCCTGACAATCTGGCTTCAAACCTGCTGATTCTGATTATTGACTTAGCCAACAAAGAGGGAATAAGTGACCAACACAAATACGAACCTTCCCTAGAGAGATTATTAAAGCCTTGGAACGTTGGCTTTATGAAATATTCTTAGTGGGTCACTTGACTAGCTAAGTTACCAAAATAAAACAAAACTATTCTTCTCCTGCCTGACTGGATGCAATGACATTCTTGTGATTCTTCCACCCTTATTTCTGTGCTTGTTTTCTTTTGTTTTAATTGATAGATGCAAGTTATAATAATCTATTTCATGTCTTAGGATATTTGGCTGCACAAACGTAACTAGAATGTTTTAGAAAATATAATTGCACCTGATATTGGCCCACTAGTTGACAAAAACAAAACAAAACAAACCAAAACCAAACACCTTGACCATGTATAAGTTAAAACAACAATAAAAACAAAATGTCTACAACCACTCTAGAAGGCAGTTTGGTGTTTCCTCAGAAAGCTGAACATAGAAATTCCATATGACCCAACTATTCTACCACTTGGAATATACCCCAAGAGAATGAGACCTGAGACACAAATGGAGACTTGCACACACACCAATGTTCATAGCAGCATTATTCACCATTGCAAGAACATGGAAATAGCCCAAATGTCCAAATTATGGTACATTCACATGATGGAATACTAAGCAGCACGCAGGAGCAATGATTCTGTAAATCACTAACTTGGGAGGGACTGGAAAGCATTATGCTAAGTGAACTAATTCAGTCCATAAGGACAAATACTGTAAAAGACCATTATTGTAGAAATAGATAACTAGTAGAGTGTGTGTGAGGATTTAGAAGGATGGAGCAGAGGGGTGGGAATGGGTGGGGGTAATTATGGGGTCACACGGTTTGATGGATGGAAGAGGGGTGGGCTGGGGAGGGACAATGTACAAATTTTGTAGGTAAACCAATGTCAGTTTTTTTTTTAAAGACAAGATTTCTGTTGTAGTCACATTAAGTTATTTGGAAGCTTTGATTAGTCAGGAATTTTTTCACATTTGTGTGTATTTCTGTGTACAAGGTTCATTTCAATGCAAGGAATAATGTCATAACTCAAATGGACATTAACAAGTCTGAAATAAAGACAATTGCATTTTCTTTATTATTTCTCCTGCTTTGGGCTTTCAGAAATAAGCCTAACTGGCTGACATTGGTGTCAATTAAAATTTTTGGAAGGAAGCAAAGATGTCTGGGAGAAGTTGAAGCCATCATTGGCTGAGGATTCTCAGCTTCTTGGCATACTTAAAAAGTCTAGACTGTGTTATCATTTAATGATTTATTGATCAAGCATCATGTCTCTTCTGGATGTTTATGTGATCATATATGTATATGACCTTGTTCAATATAAAACCAAACTCATTGCTGTTGAGTCAATTAGTTCATGTTCTTTTTTTTTCAGAGTCTGATAATTTTCATTTTTATTTCATAAATGCATTTGTAAAAGACAATTATAGATATTAGAGAAAAAGATTGCAGAGACCTTTTGAAGATTCCTCTTTAGGGATTTCTAAGCCACTTTGATGAACAATTATATAATAAATCCAACAAAAATCCCTACTATTGAATGTTCTGTTGTTTCATTTAAAAAAACACACACAACAAAAACAAGACAAGATCTGAAACCTAGATTTGTACAGATTTCCTGAACCTCTTACTTTCCTGTGATTTGGGACTTCGTGATTTTCTGAGTTTTTTGGTTGTTGGCTTTTTGGTTTTTTAAAAAAAAAATTTTGTTTACCATTGTCGTCGTCATCATCATCATCATTTTTTAAATGTATTTTATTTTTTCTTCCCCCTTTTTTTCCCACTAATTTATTTACAAAATTCTAATACAAATTCGAACAAATTCTTTAAATTTCCCTCACCCCTACTCCCCTCCCATAGTTCATTTTCTAAGGCTTCCTCCTTCTGCCTTTTTGACTAACATGCTTTTGAACCATCTCTGATCCAGAAATCATTAATAAAATTTGAATTTGAACAAAACATGGACGTGGCAAGAAAGCAAGGTAGTTGGAAATATAGCGAGAATCCTAAATGTTGGCAGAACATACAAGCAAAAGTAACAAAAATGGAGTCAAAGTAAGAAAGAGCCCAAGGAGAAGCAACTTGCTATGTTTTAGGTGAGAGAAGAAAGGGCAGGAAAGGGAGCAGGGGAAAGGGACTAGGAAGGCTTTCTTTGCCATGTTGTTGCTGTTGTGCGTGTCATCGAGTTGCCTGTGAATGACTCATAGAGACCCTATGAACAATAGTATGTGAAACAGAGCTTCTCCAAGACAGAGGTGTTCATTGCTGTGGCAGGCCATAGCATGCCTAATACTCTTCTCCAGCACCACAACACAAAGTCATCGATTTTTCCTTTGTCCTAGCACTAGTAATGTTTGTATGGAGCAAGGGACCAGAAAAAAATATGAGGAACCTAGTGTTTCTTCCTTGGGAGGCAATGTGTGTTGGGCAAAGGTTAATATAGACAAACATAGACTCCCAGAGATAAAAGACCCTGCCTTTCCTGTGTTTGTTTAAATTTGTGAAAGCTTTTTAAGAAAAAATCCTTGCAGGGGATCCATGATATAGGATGAAATGAAGGTCACATCCCTGGAATGGTTATGGAGATATAACATGTGGGCTGCATATGGGTATCAGGGGCAGTAAAAACCCAGTTGTTGTTGTTGTTGTGTGCCATTGAGTTGCTTGCGACTCATAGTGACCCGATGCACAAGAGCCCTAAATGCTGTTCTATCCTGTGCCAACCTAGCCATCTCAAATGCACTTATTCCCACCGCTCCAGTCACAGAATCGATCCATCTCACCAAAGGTCTTCCTCTCCTTCGCAGCCCCTCCACTCTGCCAAACATGATGTCCCTCTCCAAGGACCAGTCCCTCCTTGCAACATGCCCGAAGTATGACAGACGAAGCTTCAGAATCCTTGACTCCAAGGAGCTTTCCGGCTTCACCTTCTCCAGGACAAACCTGTTTGTTCTCCTAGTAGTCAATGGTATATTTAATACTCTTCTCCAGCACCACAGCTCAAAGGCATCAATTCTCTTTCTATCATCCCTATTCACTGTCCAACTCTCTGATGCATAGTGCGTAATTGCGAAGACTATAGCCCGGATCAGGTGCTCCTTAGTCTTCAGCCTGACGTTGTTACTTTTCAGTACTCTTGAGAGGTCCCTTACAGCTGACTTTCCCAATGCAATTCATCTCTTGATTTCCTGGCTGCTGTTACCAAGAGTGTTGACTGTGGAGGCAAGTAAACTAAAACTGTTGACTATTTCAAACTCTTCATCATCCAAACTGATGCCGCCAGTTGGCCCAGTAGTGAGAATCTTTGTTTCCTTGATGTTGAGCTTCAATCCATTTAGGACGCTGCAGTCCTTGACCTTCTGCAGCAAGTGTTTCAGGTCCTCCTCAGTTTCAGCAAGCAGGGTTGTGTATCTGCATAACGCAGGTTGTTGATTACTCTTCCACCAATTCTGATGCCACATTCCTCCTTATACAGCCCAGCATCTTGGATAATCTGTTCTGCACACAGATTGCAAAGATATGGAGACAGAATACATCCCTGATGGACCCCCTTCTTGATTTTGAACCATGTAGTGCCTCCTTGCTCTGTTCTGACAACTGCCTCTTGGTCCAAGTATAGGTTTCGCTTTAGCACAATCAAATGTTCTGGGATCCCCATTCTTCTCAGAGTCAGCCACAGCTTGTTGTGATCCACACAGTCAAAAGCCTTTGCATAAACCCAGTGCAACAAGATAAAGGAATGCTGACATAACATTTAAACTAAACTTTTATCTTTTTCTTAGTTATATACTACTTTTCTTCCCACTCTGGCTGTGGCATTATGACTTAGATGTTTAATTGAGGTGATGGAGACTAATTTAATGATCGTTTCCCTCCTTTTAATGACACATTGTGGTTAACTAGCAACTTAAGTCATTCTTAGATTAAGCTGCTTATTTCTTTCCTTCTGTAATAGACTTTTTTATGAATTTGGTTTTGTAATACCATAACCAATACTTTCTTCTTTATTTATTTTCCAAGAGTTCATGCCAACTTGGAGTCAGTGACAGGTCAACATTCAAGTGTGCACTAATATTATTGCAGATAAACTGATTAGCGGGGTTGAGAATTGGACAGTCGGTCAAATGTTTGCTTGGATTGGGCCTCATGGGGGTGGGAATGGCAGGGGAGCCAATATTTTGAGGTCCTAGATCTTTGCAGACTAAAAATTAAATTTTATCTGCTGACTATGAGGGGAATAAGCCCTGGGAGATTGATTAATAATAACCAAGTTATAAAAGGCTTACTTAAAATCCATAATACCAATTTAATTAATCATCCTATGGTCTCTGGGAGAGTAAAGAGTGAGGATAAAAGGACTTTGCTACTTTTTTGACAAAATTTCACCAGAATTCCTGTACAATCTAGAGACAAAATGTCTTTATTTCCCCACAGAGTGTATTTTTTTTTCAATGTTATTGTTTATTTCTTAAATTTAGGTGTGTTTTTTTTTAAATGTACTATTAATTTCAATGAAAATTTACAGAGACTTTGGATTTTCATTCATTCATTGTTGCACTTTTCTCCCTTCCCAACTCTCTCCCCTAGTACACTACCCTCTTGGAAAAGTAAAAGAAAAATTCTTACCTTGTTTTACAATCCCTTCCCCCAGGTCCACTCCACTATGCAGCCTTTGCTCTGATCACATATCCCTTTTAAACAGTTTTCTCCCTTATCTGTTTCAATGCAGTATACATTATTGAACTTATCTTTCTCAGTCTCCCCCCAACCCTGATGTCAGTACTGGTTTACAACAGTGGCACCATGCAGTATTTGTCCTTTTGTAACTGAGATATGTCACTCAGC